AAGCGACTTGTCAAAGCAAGCATTCATCGAAATAATCAGCCGGCGCAATAATTCCTCAAGATGTCTACATTCTTCTCTTTTCACTCGATCCAATCGATAACTTTATCATCATCAGAAAAGTCATCCAAACAAAAGCGAGAATCGAATAAAAAGAACTTGCTCAAAAATGATTTCTGGGGAACTCAGCAAATTTAAAAGACGTTCCATCATGCCTTTGTGATAAACGTCAACAGCTTGTGAGGCCATTATGATCGAACGCTTTCCGACAAGACAATTGTTAATAAAGTAAGTACTCCACAGAATAGTTAACAGTCAAAATCTATGGGCATCATTGGTAAAAAATTATAACATTGTTTTGTTATATAAGTAGACAACTGGTTAAAATATAACTAAATTGATTCGTTAAAATTATTCCAAGTGATGGGCCTAAATCATTCTAGATGGAAAAGAACTGTTGCCACTCAATTAGCAAATGAAATTTAAATACAAAATAATTTGATTCAGCTAATCCACCGCCCCAGAGGTAAAGTGTTAAGTAAGATGTGTTATATAAGTAGACAACTGGTCAAAATATAACTAAATTGATTCGTTAAAATTATTCCAAGTGATGGGCCTAAATCATTCTAGGTGGAAAAGAACTGTTGCCACTCAACTAGAAAATGAAATTTAAATACAAAATAATTTGATTCAGCTAATCCACCGCCCCAGAGGTAAAGTGTAAAGTAAGATGTGTTATATAAGTAGACAACTGGTCAAAATATAACTAAATTGATTCGTTAAAATAATTCCAAGTGATGGGCCTAAATCATTCTAGGTAGAAAAGAACTGTTGCCACTCAACTAGAAAATGGAATTTAAATACAAAATAATTTGATTCAGCTAATCCACCGCCCCAGAGGTAAAGTAAGATGTGTTATATAAGTAGACAACTGGTCAAAATATAACCAAATTGATTCGTTAAAATAATTCCAAGTGATGGGCTTAAATCATTCTAGGTGGAAAAGAACTGTTGCCACTCAACTAGCAAATGAAATTTAAATACAAAATAATTTGATTCAGCTAATCCACCGCCCCAGAGGTAAGAAATAGAGATGGTCAAAAATTTTATTAGCTACCCCCGGCCGGGTATTATAACAATATAAGAATCGTATGTTTTTCTATCGAACAAATATTTTACAAGATATAGTTTGAATGGAATGTAATATGTTTAACTCAGTTTCAACAGGTGTTTTTATTAACTAGGATCTCAATCTTCGGTGATATCTTTATTCATTAAAGCAATAGAATAATTAATATGTCACATGTTAGAAAATATAAGACAACTTTGCAACTGTTGTCCAATATACTTGTATAAAATATTAAGTTTGCAAACCCGAATAACAAAAACAAAATATGCATTGCTCATTTGCTGAAAGCCAACTTACATGTACAAGTTGGTCCAAAGTGGCAGTTAAAGTTACAGAAACTCGAAGTTTTCCGACGGATACATCCATTTTCAGCGCATGCAAAAACTCTAAACAGTATTGAAACGATGCACGTACCATGAAGAATGCTACTATGATGTATCATTCTTCGTGTGTAATTCTTCTATATTTGTTGCTATGTATCATAACTTTCGACAGAATTAATGATTTAAGAAAAAAAGAAGTTAAAGGTAAAGTAAATTTCTAGCAATTTGCAAAAACTAGTCATAATTGTTTTCTCGTTATCCATTTAAAACTTTGTTTTAGAATAAAATCTCATGAAGTACAGCCAATTTTAGATGAAAACGATAATTTTACAAAAGTAGTGTTAGGTTTGTTGCCACCACCAAAAAAAAAAATTGCCTTAAAGGAACTTAGATGAGAGAAATTAACGAAAATTTGGAAGCAAACGATAACAGCAATTACATTATTGCCACCGCAGTAGCGAAAAAAAAAGGAAAAAAAAAAAGAAAGAAATAAAAAGAAATAGTCTCTTTTTGCAGGTGGTAAAATGTCATGTCCAATTCATAAAAAAGATAAAAAAATAAATAAATAAAGGTAGAAATAAAACAAAATACAAAAAGAATAACAAAAAAAAGGAGCTATGAGGTGTGCCGCAGCAGCAAGAAAAGCAAGTGTAATAATCAAAAGGTGCAGCGAAAGTTATTAACGAGGAACATTCTAAACAAGAGTGAAGAAGGGAGATAAATAGACTTGTATTACTAAAAACTGCTCAAATTGTGAAGATTGTATTCATTCATTCATTTTTTTTTTTTCTTTCTTCCTTTTTCTCCTATAATTTTCTTTTGCTGTTCCGACCTTGGTAGAAAGCTACGTAATGATAAAAAGAGGAAGACAAAAATGGCTGCATGAAAAAATTCGGCAACGCTTATCTAACTTTAAAACAAATAGAGAGAAATATTAAAATGAATTATTTTGGTTTAATTTTCTAAGAAAAAAAATATATTCTCGTCTTTTATACTATATGTTATAGACTGAATTGCTCTTTTTCGTATAATTTGTAATAAATTATAAATAGGAAAAATCAAGATCTATATTTATCACATTTCGCTATGATTTTTGTTTATTTGTAAATTTATTGACATGTTGTTTATATGATTGATATATTTATGTTAAAAGGTAATTATTTTCTAATTAAGTTTTTTTTCCATTAATTTTAATATTTTTTTTCCTCCATAATGCGCAGAATCAATTTCAACAATAAAATTGTCACATTGCAGTAGTTATAGTTTTCCATAGTTCAATCTTAAATATATAGCAATAGAGTTTTCAAAATATACAGTAGAACCTGTATACTTTGAAAACACTATTTTTTTTAAAAATGTACAGTCCCTGACCAAATTGTTAGACGCACTGTAAGATTCTATGTAAAATCTTAATTATCAGGTGATTACTATACAGCATTGTTTTTACGTGGCTAAACCGGTTTGCATTTGTTTACGTTTGTGTATCCATTGGTAAACATTGTAATGCAATACGTAAAAATTAATACATATAGGAAGTATATGAAAAATCTCCTTAATAAAATTCCATTACATCTGTGTATAAATATAAAAGTATTGCATACAAACTCGTGCAAAACATGTCATTATTACAATATAATAATATAATATCTAACATAATATATATTTATATAATATATCGTCTAATTTATCCAATCGTCGAATTCATATTATATATCGTCTAATTTATCCAATCGTCGAATTCATATTACATATCGTTTAATTTAACCCATTGATGCTCGAACGTAAACAAGTCTAAACAAGTTTCAGCAGTGTCAAAACAATAAAGCTGTATAGTATCACCTGATAATTAAGATTTTAAAATGAGATCGATGATTTCTTGAAACTTCTGGACCTTGGATATCCGGAAATTTCCGGATAGCGGTTAGCGAAAAATCCGGATTTTTTCCGGAGCGCTATCATCTCTGAGTAGGTCTAAAAAACTTTTTTGCAACCGAAACATATTTTACTGTTAAAATGTAGGTAAAGAAGTGGCACAAAATGGCTATTTTAAAAAAGTGAGAAAGGGAAGTTGAGGTGGGTGGGAGTGGGTAAAGTTTTACCCCCTTATGCTTTTCACTCACACTATGTACGAATTAACTGCTGCGTTTTGCAAGTAAAATGCATTTCGCTTCCTTTTTTTATTTTATTTTCCCTTCTCCAATTCCTTTCTTTCAGATCTGTTCTTCATTGTTTCGTGCCAGCTCTTCGAAAATTTAAATATAATTCATTAAGAGGAAAAAGAACAGATGCAAAACACGTATTCTGTAAAAATAATCATCTGATTCCCCCCCCCCCTTTTTTTCAATCGTTTATTTTTGTTTCGTTTCTCTCTTTTTTTTATTATTATATTATTTTTCTTTCTGTTTTTCATTTCTGCAAATCTACCAAACTTTTCCTATCTGTGTGTGTATAAAATTGAGGGAAAAGGAACATTTTTGCCTGTTGGATGGCAAAGCAAGGGAGGAAAGAAAAAAAAAGGTTTTTGAGTGTAGCACGCAAAAGGCTCGTCTTCAAATCGTATTTCTGATGCATCTTTTAGAGATTTTGTTTTACGGGTTATGCATTTTTTTTTAAATACATATATATTCTCGTATAGATGCAAGTTTTCCTTCAGTACTGGATGTTTTGGAGGTTTTTCTTAAGGGTGTGTTCTCTTCTGCGAGGATCTAAGTATGAAGTATTAAAAAATAAAATCAATTCATAGTAGAATAAACGGAACTTATTTTATGAAAATCACACTATTAGGAAGCTTTCATTATTATGATCTTAGCAAATTACACACTAAACTGACGGTTTAATACCATTCTGTTAACAGGAAATATGAAATAGGTAGAGCTTTAAGCGTGAGACTAGATGGAACATTTTTGTTAGCTTTTATATCCTGAATCCAACTATCATCAATATTTTATTCAAGATGCAAAATTGAAAGCTATTGGGTTTTTATATTATCAGCCTCTATAAACCGTTAGTCGCACAGGGGAAAAAATTAAAAAACTTAAATATATATATACTGATCCAATGCTTGATCCAGGAGTTCCCTTGTCTTCTGGATTGGGTTCAAATTTACAAGGCTACGGAGTTGAAGATTAGTAGTCATAAAACCAAAAATTGGGTCAGCTGTTCAACAACGGTTATATATAAAAAGAAAAATTTGAAAAAAATAATAATAAAAAGAACCGAAGAGATTACATTTATTAACACTGGACTGGGGCTATACGATCGCCCCTGCCCCTGAAGATGAATCCCTCATGTCGATTTAAAAAGAAAAAAGAATGTAATTGTGTTGAAGCATAATTTAAATAATTCTAGGGAATTGCATTTTAAACCATGTACCCAAAATTCAGACTAGTTAATAAACAACAAACAAACCTGGACCCACAAAATGTTGAGTAATATGGAATATAGATTGAACTCGGGAAAAGAAAAATTTTTCTTCGAAGCGTTTCAAAGATTCCTAAAGAATGAATTAAAACGTAATTTTTAAACCTAAAATGAGCAGAAGAGATTCTCACCTGTATGACACGCATATTAAGTCCCGTTTCCTGTGCTAATTGTTCTCTTATGTGCCTTGTCGGTTTGGGCGTTGCGGCGAAAGCAGCCTTCAATGTCTCCAGCTGTTTAGCCTTGATGGTGGTACGAGGACCTCTTCTTTTAGTCCCTCCTCCTGCTTCGTCATTCGAAGAAGGTCCAGCAACCAAACAATCGACGGGTTCTTCACTGTTGGGAGTGTTGTTGTGAGGACTATTAGCTCCTGAGCCACCGCTGACAACGATGCTCGAATCACCCNAACTTAGAGCGGTGAACTTGACACTGAAAAAACAAAAGTCTTTGTTTAACGTAATTTAATATTTTCGCTCATCAAACAGGTTTATAAATTTGTGCGTGAATCTACATCATTTATCTCTTTTAGTTTCAATTGATTCTTGATAAAAGAGGTTCGAAAATAACAGTTTAGGAAGAATAACAGTTTAGGTCTTTATTAGTTTAATTGAGCTAAAATAATGCATTTTGAGCATAAGTAAGATAATAATAATCGGTGTACAAATAAGTTCCTACCGTTCGCCACAAGATGGTACTACCAGATTGTAGAAATTGACTGGTGTTAAACGCTTAAATGTAAGTGTGTTCATCTGGTAGCAACATAACCTTTAAAGTATTGTGATTCCGTATTAACATTATACGTCATTGTTTGCGTGCAAAAATGTCAAGTTATGTGTCAAATAAGCGTCAATTGCGGGAACTTTTGATTTACTTTTTTAATTTAAAGAAATCTGCAGTTGAGGCGCATTGATTGCTTGGATAAGCATAGGGTGAGGCTGCTTTAAGTGAGAGAAGTTGTCGTCAGTGGTTTCAAAAGTCTTAAAGCGGTGAGTTTGACGTGGAAGACAAAGAACACAGTGGAAGGCCGAAATCGTACGAAGACAAGGAATTGGAAGAATTATTGGAAGAAGATTCATCCCAAACGCATTGAAAACTGGATCTTACATTACGCTCTCAGGGGATCGAGCGTTCGCCTTCCAATGAGGTGAATCGAGTTCGAATCTAACCAATGGCACGTCAATACGTATCTGCATCCGGCTTGCACCGACTACAGTGCTGACGTGAAATATCCTCAGTGGTAGACGGATCACGAGTTAGAGTCCCTTTGCCGCCAGGCTAATCTTGTGGTTCCCGTGGTCTTCTTCTCCACGTAACGCATATGCGGGTTAGTTCCAGGGGCCCCCACCAGGGGGGAAGGTGGGCGCCCACTTGAAGCTAGGGGGGGAATTTCTATACTAAATAAAACGAATAGTTTGGGGGGGATTTAGAATTTGCCCAAGAGCTTAGGGGGGATGGGGGCCACTGATTAGTTCCATCATAAAGTCCTCCATGAGGGCTAAATTTTTTCCACTACTTGATCCAGGAGTTCCCTTGTCTTCTGGATTGGGTTCAAAATGACAAGGCTACGAAGTTGAACATCAGAAGTCGTAAACCCACAAATTGGATCGGCTGTTCAACGACGGTTATAAAATAAAAAAGTGACTCAGCAAGTAATTTCACATCGTTTAAAATCATTGGGATTGATCCAAAACCAAGGAAACTGGGTTCCATGTGAACTGAAGCCAAGAGACATTGAACGTCGATTTTGCATGAAAATTGATTTGCTATTTCGAAACACTTCAATGGGAAGTCCTACCCCACCCACCGTATTCGCTAAACCTCCTCCCCCCCCGCAGATTATCACCTATTTCGGTATGTCTGAGCAGAAATTTACATAATTTGAAGAAACCAAGGAATGGCTCTATTCGTGGATATCTTTGAAAGATGAAGAATTCTTCCAACGTGTTATTCAAATGTTCCCAGAAAGATGGGAGAAAATAATGTCAAGTAATGGAGAATACTTTGAATAAAAAATAATTTACCGTTTTTTTTTCACAATAAAATGTTAGTTTTTGAATGAAAACGGCGGAAACTTACATGCACTCCCAATACCACATTATCTTTATGTAATTCAGTTTTTCATTTTTAAATAAATAAAACCCTATCTGTGATTATTTAAAATTGTAAAATAACTTAGGTACAAAAGTGCAATAAATATCAGCACAAATACAATCGGTTTTTCAAATAATATTATCAATTAAAATATGTCAAATTAAAATAGTAATTATATTGTGTCTCAAATTAAGTTGAAGTTAAACTTTTATTCTGACTTTTATTCGATTTTATTCCGACTTAAAAACAAATGTTGGTTTAATTATTAAGCTAATTATTAAATTCCAGATCAGATAGAAACAATAAGATCGGAATGAACGAATAAATTATTAAAGGTTCTCAAAAACAAATGTTGGTTTAATTATTAAATTCTAGATCAGATAGAAATAATAAGTTTGGAATGAAGCATAGAGCGAATAAATTATTAAAAGCTCTCAAAAACAAATGTTGGTTTAATTATTAAGTTCTAGATCAGATAGAAATAATAAGTTTAGAATGAAGCATAGAACAAATAAATTATTAAAGGTTCTCAAAAACAAATGTTGGTTTAATTATTAAATTCTAGATCAGATAGAAATAATAAGTTTGGAATGAAGCATAGAGCGAATAAATTATTAAAAGCTCTCAAAAACAAATGTTGGTTTAATTTTTAAATTCTAGGTCAGATAGAAATAATAAGTTTGGAATGAAGCATAGAAAGAATAAATTATTAAAGGTTCTCAAAAACAAATGTTGGTTTAATTATTAAATTCTAGGTCAGACAGAAATAATAAGTTTGGAATGAAGCATAGAACGAATAAATTATTAAAGGTTCTCAAAAACAAATGTTGGTTTAATTATTAAGTTCCAGATCAGATAGAAATACTAATAAGATTGGAATGAAGCATAGAACGAATAAATTATTAAAGGTTCTCAAAAACAAATGCTGGTTTAATTATTAAATTCTAGATNAAATACAATCGGTTTTTCAAATAATATTATCAATTAAAATATGTCAAATTAAAATAGTAATTATATTGTGTCTCAAATTAAGTTGAAGTTAAACTTTTATTCGATTTTATTCCGACTTAATTATTAAGCTAATTATTAAATTCTAGATCAGATAAAAATAATAAGCTTGGAATGAAGCATAAAACGAATAAATTATTAAAGGTTCTCAAAAACAAATGTTGGTTTAATTATTAAATTCTAGATCAGAAAGAAATAATAAGCTTGGAATGAAGCATAGAACGAATAAATTATAAAAGGCTTTTAAAAACAAATGTTGGTTTCATACTGTATTTTATTAACTCCAAAAAAACCATAATATTTATTTTTGAAATTATCTGAACAAATTAAAAATTATTAAATCTAATATTATAAATTAATTTCAAAAGTCCATTTAAGCATATGTAACTGTAGAATTCAGCATGGAATTACTGAACAAAATAATCAAATCGCATGTATCAGTTTAGAAAAATGAATAAAAAATTATTTTTAATTTAAAACATAAATATCTTTTCGGAAATAATGTTTTAGATATGATTTGACAAATCTTGTGTCTTGACTTCTAGTGGTGTCATTTAGTTCGATTTTGTGATTTTGCAACCTTTGTGCAATTTTTGATAGTAAAAAATACTTAAATTTTTTTATTAGTGGTACACAGCGTAACGAAAAATTTAGAAAGGGTACACAAAAGTCTAAGTTTGGGAAACACTGAATTAGAATATATACAATATAAATTCGACGATTGGATAAATTTAGCGATATATTATATAAATATATATTATTTATTATATTAGGGTATTATATTAGTATATTATAATAATTAGACCAAATGATTAGACGCACTGTAGTTTTTTTAATAATGACATGTGTTACACGAAATTATATGCAATAATTTTATATTTAAACATACATGTAATGGGTTTTTATTTAGAAGATTTTTTATATACTTCCTATTTGTATTTATTTTTAACGTNTACGGGAACAGCTTAGCGGGGGTACGCGTTATGAAAAATATCTTAAAATAAAAGAAAATTTCAAAAAATTTCACTCAAAAACAAAGCTAGCCATGAAAATTTACGATTAAGTATTTTTCTATTGGCTATCTTTTGCAGAGTTAACAGTTAATAAATAACAACTAGTGGTGTCATTTAGTTCGATTTTGTGATTTTTAACTTTTGTTCAATTTTTGATAGTAAAAAATACTTAAATTTTTTTATTAGTGGTACACAGCGTAACGAAAAATTTAGAAAGGGTACACCAAAAGTCTAAGTTTGGGAAACACTGAATTAGAATATATATAATATAAATTCGACGATTGGATAAATTAAGCGATGTATTATATAAATATAGATTATTTATTATATTAGGGTATTATATTAGTATTTTATAATAATTAGACCAAATGATTAGACGCCCAGTAGTTTTTTTAATAATGACATGTATTACACGAGTTCATATGCAACACTTTTATATTTAAACATGCATGTAATGGGTTTTTATTTAGAAGATTTTTTATATACTTCCTATTTGTATTTATTTTTAACGTATTGCATTACAATGTTAACTAATTGATACACGAGCATATACAAGTGCTAAACAAGTGCGCACTATAAGATTCAAAGTAAAATCTTAACTATCAGGGGATACTATACAGCTTTATTGTTTTCGCACTAGTTTATGTTTGTGTATTAATTGGTTAACATTGTAATGCAATACGTTAAAAATGAATACAAATAGGAAGTATCTAAAATATCTCCCGTATAAAATCCCATCACGTGTATGTTTAAATATAAAAGTATTGCCTATAAACACTTGCGAAACATGTCAGTATTAAAAAAAACTACAGTACGTCTAATTATTTGGCCTAATTATTAACATTTTAATAATATAATACCTGATATAATAAATATTTTATATTTATATAATATATCGTCGAATTTACCCAATCGTCTGATTTACATTATATATCGTCGAATTTACCCAATCGTCTGATTTACATTATATATCGTCGAATTTACCCAATCGTCTGATTTACATTACATATCGTCTCACTTAATCCATTGATACACGAAGTTAAACCAGTGCAAACCGTCTCGTAAAAACAATAAAGCTGTATAGTGTCACCTGATGATTAAGATTTTACTTAGAATCTTATAATGCGTCTAATAATTTGACCATTGATTGTACAATAGTGTACTGTACAAGATTTCTTTTAAAATAATCACATTTCAAAAAACTCCCCAATGCAAATTACAACTCATAAGGGGGACGTCGAGAGCTTGTGGAACAAAACATATCGTCTGCTCTCGAGAGGT